TGGCTTGTTGTAGTAATAGCCGTTAGGGTCTTTCATTCCAAATGAACACATGTCAAGAGTGCCATAGGTAACACCGCGTTGTGACAAAAGACGTTGGAAACATCTGATGAGGCAGGATTCTCAATGATGAAATGGCCTCCGTGTTCAATCTGAAATATGGCAACACGACAACAAAATTCCAACATTGGAAGAAACTTCTGTCTGCGCTGATCTCGCGCTGCGCGATCATGGATATTGGTCATCTGACTCCAAGGAGCACAGTGCGGCGCCATAAAGATGACTCTAGGCTTCTGTTTCTCGACGATGTCCATCGTCCTCTTACGTCCGTCGCTGGTCAAGATGTCAAATCCGGTTCTCAGGTCAATAGGTTGTCCAACACGCAAACCATTCATGGCAGCAACTTGGCTCAACCGTGCTGAACCTGCGAACAGTTCTAAGAAATCAATCTTGCCAGTCATGGCAGGTTGCCATGCATAAGAGGAATATGTGAAGCCTTCCACACCGATCTGGGCTCCGTCGCTCTGAACTAGAGAGCTTGCGTGGTCAGTGACCGGAATATCGGTCCGTGCACTCTCAGAACTCAGAAGTGCAACCGGGTCGAGTGGCACCTCAACATCTTCGATCGGATTGATGTCCTTACGGACCTTGCTGATGTTGACCTTCAAAATTCTGGTGCCTAAATCGATACCAACCATACTGCCGTCAGAACTAATGACCTTGCCTTTGATCCATTTGCCACTGTGGGTTCCATCAGACTTTACCTTGGATTTATCTTCTGTCCAATAGTAAATCTTATCACCAGGGTAAAATGGACCATCACTCAACTGAAGTCTTGCAGAAATATCTCTTCTCAGATCATCTGATTGTTTTGCTTCATCTATATTTTTCTCGGGAGAAGGAAGAGAAGCTGTAAGCTGTTCCGGTGTCATGTTCTCTGGGTACAAAAGATCTGCAGGTCGCCGTCCAAATGCCATCTCCAATGGAGATACTCCACCAAAAGTGACCATGGAGTTCCTGGCAAGTGATGCTTGTCTGAGGAGTTGACGGTACGTGATCTCGTATCTGGATGGGTCCTCAGTTACGGCCTTAAGCATCAGGGTGATCTGCTTTTTGTACATGCGAACAGCTGCTTCTGCTCTATTTGGCCATGGAGTACCAGGTCCTAAAGTGATCGGTCGGATATTCTTTCTGTTGTAAAAGGCTTCAAGTTCAGTACCCATGAAACCTTGATCACCGACTAGATACTTAGGATTCAACTGGTATGTCTCAAAATACTCCAAAAGATGGCCAATCGTTTCTGCTTCAGTTTGGCCGTTACACACGTAAGCAGTGGTCATAGAAGTAGCACCGTCATAGATGATCAGGAAAAGAAGTTTGGACTTGTCATTCTTAGTTCACCATGATCAACAAAGGTGCGTTCTCCAAACGTTTCACTCCTCATACCTGAAATTCTTGATCTTGAAGGTGCAACTTTGGACTTCTGACATGTGTCACACTGCTTGACTACCTTTTCATACTCTTCATAGATCTTAGCAGGAATCTTCAAAGCTGAGGTGCGTTTCTTGAACTGCTCAGTTGACATGTGGTAGTGCTTCAAATGCAGTTTCAAGAGTTCAGTTGGATGAGATAGCTTTTCATGGATTCTCTGCAATGCTAACGGCAAGGTTACTGAAACCTTAGGAGCCTTCTTCTCTCGATGCACTGTGGTTGGTATTGGTTTCACGTCTTCCTTGGATTCTTCCTGAGGATCGGGCTTCACCGGCATGTCAGGTTCTGCTGGAGGTACGTCAGGCTTCTCGGCTCCTGAGCTTGAACTTGGAATCTTCGAATGCTCAAATGGTGTACCAAAATCAGGTGACTTCTCTGTCTTCCGGTATGTCGGAGGTGTCACCTTCTTAGCCGGTGGAGGCATCGAAATGAGCTTCGATGGCGGATCGACTTTGGCATCTCCACTTGCAATGTGCTTATCTGGCTTCTTAGCCGGAATATCGGCTGCTGACTTGTCTTCCTTCACTTCGGATGTCTCTGCCTTCTTGCATCCATCTTTGTATGTGTGCTTGCGATGCTTTCCGCTGCAGGCAGGACAGGCTCCATACGAAGGATTGATTGCAGTAAAACTGTGGTTCGGCTTACGAACTGAGCTGGCAAACATCATGATGTCCAAGACATTATGGTTCGAAGTGCTCACTGGCAACGAAAATCGCTTCAGACCGAACAAAGGACAAGTCAGATAGTCACCGACTGGAGTATGCTCAATAGACATGCGAAGGTTCCTGAGCTGCTCAACGCTGAAAAGGATTGGAACGTCACCTTGGTCTAAGATATCTATCGCTGTTGTGATCCACCCTGTGGGTGACTGGTCGTTCTGAAAGTAAATTACCAGCTTCTCTCGGACATTGGACTGTTCACCGTTTGCAAATGAGAATCGACTTGATGAAGGCTCAAAAGAGAAATCAATCTTAGATGCATTGTAGTGTCTCTTACATGCCTTCACTAGACGCATGATGGCAGTCCTTGAACCCATTTCTCTGGTACAGCCGCTGTCAATGATCACGTAGGTCGGACTGTACCTCAAGTCGATGTATTCAGAAAGCAAAGCATGGTGAAATCCATCGTCAAAGTTGACAAAAGAAGAACAGAAGCGTGGATCAATCACTTCAGAACAACCGGAATGTCGGTAGTCTGTACGCTGCTACCGGCAGGGTTTAGGTGATACGGCTGTGAAACATGTTCTACACCAGTCATTTCTTCTGCATGTGTTCCGTAATACCGGAAATCTGCTGACTGGTTCATCTGGTCAGGCTCTCGCTCTGAGCTCTGGTGCTCTTCATCTTGCGGTCTGTCCGTCTGTCCGTCCGCAAAGTATGTCCATTGTTGCCAAGTGGCTTCATTTGCCTGCCAGACATCTTCAGGATAGTACTGATCTGTGTGATATCCATACGAGTCCCATGACCAATTTGCTTCATGTGCACTCCAGGTTTCTTCGGCATTAGTGGATGGTTGAGCTGATGAAGGCTCTTCGGTGGTTGCAACATTGGATTGTTGAAAGGGATTCTGTTGCTTGCTTTTTCCTTTGCCTTTGAATGCATCTTTTCCCTTGAATCCTTTCTTTCCACCTTTCTTTCCTTTCTTGCCTTTTCCATAGAAACCTGAGTTGTCAGGGTACTCTGCATAATGTGCCCCTGCACCTTTGCCTCTACGGCTGACAAAGCCGGGTCTTCTACCTTTTCCGCGGCCTTTTCCTTTGCCGCCTTTGGATGGTTTTCTGAACCTTCTACCATGGATTCTTCTACGGGTGTATCCTCCTTTGGCTGCTAACACCCAAAATTCGGACTCTGAGAACAAACTCACAAATCCTTCTTCGCCTGTTTCTTGATCCATCACCCAGTATCCGGATTCTTCTTCCAAGTCTCCTTCATCGAGGACAAGGAAAGTGGATCTTCTTTGCCTGCGGATCGAAGGATCGGCAGTTCCTGTGGCGGTTCCGCAAAAGAGATCAAGGAATAAGCCTTTGACACCTAGGTATGTGTAGTTGTTCATGTTGATCTGACGCAAGGCCATGCTGGCTACAAACCTTTCCCTTTGCTGTTCATTGAGATCCGACTGAACTAAGAAAATAAGTGACATCAAGTTGTCAGACAATGGAAAGGTGTCACGATGTGCTTGTTTCAAGGCATCAATGTGTTCAGAACGGATTCTTTCTGCATTCTCTCTTCTTTCTGCGGGATCTTGAAGTCCTTGAAGTAGCATGTACTGCTGTTGCGAGAGGATATCAGTAAAGTTGAAATCATCAGGCTGTGGAACAGTCGAAAGATCTAACAAGCCCATGAAGGCTTCCATGACCTTCTTGCTAGCGACTTCAAAACGAGCGATCCAGCTGACAAATTCCCCGTTTCCGCGCCAGGTCCTGAAGAGCTGCGTGAAACGCCAAAGAAAAACATGATTTGCTCCCTTGACAAAGTATGGGCGCAACGTCTCCTTGAAATACGTAATACCGTTTCTCTCATGACGAAGCTGTTCATTGTCGAGCATTTTCTTGTAGTATTCGGCGTTTCCGGTTAGAGCGTTCTTCAATGATGGGCCTAATTTTTCGGCGCTTAATGTGGTGATGTTCACCCAGTCATCAATCAAATCTTCAAACTCGAACCAGGATGACTGTCCATCGAATGACGGAGGAATCTTTGGCGTCATCTTGACACCTGCTGATGGTTGTGCCTCGTACGTCCGGTATGTCGAACTCGAGGACCTTCCATGCTGTTGGCGATGACGCGAACCCTGAGCTGCGAAAGCTTCTTCTGGATCTGTTACTTCAGATAGGTCGCTGTCATGCTCTTCGTCCGTATCTATGTTAAAGATCTGGACCATGGTCTATTTGTTTGACAAGTGACTTACTTGGTTGTCCCCTGTCCGGAATATCGGACGATTCAGCACGAAGGCAAAATCGACCAATGCAAAGCAGGAGACACAAGCTCCGCTACCACTTTGAGGGGTAAGTTCCCCCAGAAGTGGCAGTTGGATAACTGGACCTGATCGAAACACCAAGCAGTCAAACACGTGCGGTCGGTGTGCGAGCTGCGGCGAAGCACACCTTTTCTATGGCAGTGAATGCAGTAATGGGCTGCTAAGTCTTGAGCCAAATGAATTATGTCGAAAGCGGACTGAAGAGCTACAGACTAATGTATGTACAAGAACAGGTGCTACACACGTATAGCGTAGACACGCCCAGGGGGACCTAGGACCCTACTAAACACAGGGGGGTGGTTCACCCCCCCCCACGATTTGTGGAGGACAAAACTGGAGGAACTATCGTGGTTCCGGGCTAGAAGTCGAGAACGAAGGAGCTTGCTGTATCGGTGAGAATCTGCAAAACACCACCCACAATTAACAATCTGTCTTCATGTACCATTGGTTGACACGTCGGAACACGTTTGTTAGCTTGCCCATGAGGTGTTCTTACAAGGCAGGTTTGCCAATAGCTCAATTAAAACGGCCACGCTGTCCTCCCTTGGCCGCAGGACTGGAGTGACCCCTCGAACGCGCCTAAGCCAGGTCACAGTAACATGCAAAAACAAGCTCAACAATGGAACAAAACGAATTGCAATCACACAGTTTGGTGTGGCATAGATGATGAAATTAGAGGCAAAGTGAAACTGTGAAGGTTGGGGCAAACAGAAGTTACAGTTACACTACGCGAAGTTCCTGCACTAGTATTCTCAAATTGAAGCACTGTAAGCGCTGAGGTGAAGGCATTCCTAGTGCTCGGAGTGCAGTTTGTGCCTCCAAATGTTTAACAGAATCTTTCCTGATCGGCTAACCGTGGAGTCTTCCCTAGTTGTGTCTAAGGTGTGAAAACCATGGAATCATGGAAAACAATCGTTTTCTCACCTTGATTCCTTGTGAGCCATTATGTGTCGATGCCATCCGATGTGTGTTGCGCATGGAAGACCTCCTAAGCAAACAAATGCTACTACGGCTGCAAACCGCTGCAACCTATATAGCCAGAACCAGCCTCTTCCAGCAAAGATGAACTCCTCCGCCACTCTGATGATATTATGATGCCTTAATCCGCCACTCTGATGATATTATGATGCCTTAATACATCTTCTTGGAAAAAACAAATGTATATACAACTATTTGCTTTAAATTAAACATTGGCGTGATCAAGAAGTTTGTTCTACATTACATAATTATACATATAAACTACAATGTCCCTGAGACTTGTTGACCTTGGTCATTGGAAAAATCACTCTGGTCACAGTCATCCTTGACCAAACGAGTTCAAAACTCTGGCTCTTTGGCTAATTGCGATGAACTTGGAGCGTCCATGACATATGTCTGTAGAAGTAAGCATCCAATCGATGGCGAGGAAACATTGATGCTTGAGAATGCAAACTGAAACATGTTCTACTCGTTGCTGTTACTGGCCATTGCAATTCATTTAGGTACGTAATTCCACAACATTTCTTGACTTCCAACTCCTCACCAATTCAGGGCATGTCTGAAAATCGAACCACGACAGTATCACGACCGCAACTGATAATGTCTAGCTAGCTTCTGCTAAGTAGCTATGGTTTTACCAGCCATAAGTTCAGTTCGCTACAGTTGAAGTATGGTCCTCTTCGCAATGTTGTTCAACAAGTCCACGTGGTTTTGTTGCAACATGTTTGGAATTTGACGAGCAGGTCCTATGGGAACTCAAGCGAAAGCACAAACACTTTCGTTTGAGGTTGAGTAGGCCATAAATAGCGTAAACATAATTTACAAATAACTAGTAATAAGAAAATGTAAGGGGTAGCTACTAAGTTTGAAAAACAACTGCATCACACGGGGAAGAATTCAAGTTGCTTCGGGGAAACTTTCCGCCTGAGGGCGCAGGGGAGCTTCTTTTGAATAAACCTGAACCTTAATGATTTGGTTCCAAAGGTTCCAACTTTGATTTGGACAATCAAGCGCATCATAGATCTGGCTTCTGCCTCACACCAACAATGCGCTGTCAGAAGTACAGTGTATCGTCCGAGGCTGACAATGCTGACATTTGGAATAAACAAGATGCAGGGGATGACACGAAGCTGGGTGTTACATGGTTGTATCTAGTCTCTGTGGCACCACCGTGTATCCAAACTGTTTCTGTGATGTCGTTGTGCCATGCGGTTTTGTGTGGCTCCGGTGGAAAGTGCGTTTGCGTGAGTCCGTGCCATTGGCGAAAGGAAAGCATGCTGGTGTAAGTTCAATTATACAGTAAATTCGTGTAATTTATCGCGTCGCTGGGGAGCGTGATGATTGGCGCTTGGTTGCTTGGTGTTACATTGTTATATCTAGTCTGCGGCGCGCCATGTGGCCAAACTCCGTCTGTGATGTCGCTGTGCCACGCAGCTTTAAGCGCGGCTTCGGAGGAAAGTACCTTGGCGTGAGTCCGTGCTGCTGCAAAGTGCGCGTGCGAGAAGTAGCATCCGATCGATTCTATCTATTTGCTAATATGAATCCGCTCCCCCCAGGACACGGACTCACGCAAAAGCGCTTTCCACCGAAGCCGCACACAACCGTAGCCCCCTCTGCTCTCGGTCACTAAAGAGTTCCTTCTCTACCTCAGCCTTGTCCTGTTTCGCCCCGGCGAGACCGAGGTTTTGGTGTGGCCCGAGCACGCCTGCAGCTATGTGGGGCTTGGCCTGGACTCCTCTTTCGACGCGGTTCCGAAGGCGACGTTAGGCTCTGTCAGCGGTCGGCCCTGGTTCGGCGCGGCGGCGTCATTTTCGCCCTCCGCCAACAGGCCGTATCGCCATGCCAACAGGGCGCGCAGCCTGCTTCTTGGAGCGACCTGGCTGTTCCTGAACTCCTCCTTGCACTCCTCCTTCTACGCGGTTCCGAAGGCGATGTTAGGCCCTGCGTGTCAGCGGTCGCCCCCAGCCCCGTTCAAACCTCCAGCGAGAGTGTTTCGGTGCGGCGGCGCTGACTGACGTTTTTGCCCTCTGACAGTCGAGACTTTGGCGCCGCCGACTGCGCCACAGACTCCGGTCCGCCCCGGCCACGGAGGCCGGATATGACATGCCTCATCACTGGCCGGGCGATGTTCTTGCCTTGTACTCACGGCCCGATGCATGAGCCGTGCATGGCTCAGTGCGTGCGAAGCAACAACGGCTTGTGCCCGATCTGCTGCTACGATGTGAGAGGCAAGAATTTTTATAAAAGGAAAACACACTAAATTGAATGAGGTTCGATTCAAACCCTGTCAGTCATGGACCGCCGTGGGCTACCACCCACGGAAACAGCAAGGGAAACAAAACTAGTTACACGGTATTGGGGGTGCAAGAGCGCCCTTGCATTTGACAGTGAAAGTGTGAAAGTGGTTGCAAACTTGTCAAAGCAAAATGAGTGAAACATGTAGGCCTTGGCGGTGGGTCAGTGGGTGGGCGCCAAGGCCACCAAAAAACAACACAACTGAGTGACTTCTTGCTGCAGCCCTCAAACACAAATTGGAGCAGGAGCAGCGATAGAAAAGAACCTTGTGAAGTGCAGACCGTCTGGAATGACCGGTTTTCTGAGTCCAGAAGGAGCAAAATCCAACACTCTGAGGTCAATTTCGCCGCATTGTGGTAGTGAAAGTTTCAATTGCCACGATGCAGCAGAACCGCCCAAATTCGCCGTATTTTGTATATTTTATCACTTCTGCCGCATTGTGGTAATCAACATTTCAACTACCACGATGCAGCAGATCTGTCCCAGCACCGTTGGGAGGCCCGGATTTGCAGCAAGTCCCGCCAAATCCGCCGCAAATTTTTCTACAGAAGTAAGGTTGGCGCGTTCAACCTTAACTTTTTGAACCAGATCCGCAGGACATTTTTGGTCACAGGGAAGCCGTTTCAACTGCCTGTCCCTGATCTGCGGGAAATTTTTGGTCACAGGGAATTTGCTTCAACTGCCTGTCCCTGATCTGCAGAACCTCTTTTGTCGCAGGGAATTTGTTTCAACTGCCTGTCACTGTTCCGCAAGAAATTATTGTTGCAGCATATTTGCCTCAACTGCTTGCCCCTGATCTTGCCGGCAGGTTTGATCCCAGGGAAGTTGTTTCAACTGTTTTGCCCGGATCTGTAGGAAGTTTTTGTTGCAGGGATTTTGCTTCAACTTTTTGGCAAAAATGGAACAGTAGTTATGCAAAATGCCGCGAGCACAACTGAACGCAATCCTTTTCAAGGGAACTCGAGCCTACATGCGCAGGTCACGCGCACGATGGGCGACTGCTTTACACCCTGCCTTCGACTGCAGGTACTGAAAGTTTCCAGCCGTCGAGCTACTTCAGTGTTCATCCTGTGGACGCACTTACTCAGCTCTCCGGCTCAGGTTCATCAAGCTCTTCTCTACCTGGTACTGCCCTTTCTTCTTCATCCGCTGGTGACATCACATCGTCTTCATCACTCTCACCTTCTTGCTGAGATCTTGTATCTTCATTTTCGTCTGGTGGCAATGGTGGCCCATAATGAGCCGCCGCCCAACCATCTGCGTACTCACTTTCTCCCAATGAGAGGTCCATCGGTTCATCTCCCCGTCGAACGTGGAAGTGGAAGATGTATTGCCTCACGCATCTCAGGTGATCTATCACCATCTTCCTTCCTTCTGGACCGCGGACCATGATGATCCTCTGGAGATTCTTGAAGGTTCTCAGGCCTTCAGGTAAGTCTTCATCTCCAGGGTCCTCTACGATCATGTCTTTGAACTCTCTGATCTTCATGATCAGAATCAGATACACCTCGATCATCTCCATTCCGTACGTACCTTTGGTACTCCTCTCCTTCGAGTCTGATGTGCTCATCTTCCCTGTCATCCTCCAAGTGTTCAGCAAGGCTTCCATAGTCGGTGTTCACCTCGCTTTCACTTCCTTCATCTTCATCTTCTTCAGTCTTCTTCCATTCTCACCATTCTCACACGCACTTCGGTCTCATGGATGTATCCATCATCATCATCTGTATACGTGCTTCTTCTCACTTCTCCATCTTGCTCTTCTGCCTCCCCTTCGATCTCTTCGCCCCATGGTGGGCCAACCACATCTCTAAAGCTTAGGCCGGACCTATTCGACCAATATTGCCAATCTGTTGCTCCTTCTTGCCACCTCCCAGGAGCACTCCACAATCTCAAGTCAATCCTCTCTTGGTCTTCAGAATCTGACGTGTAGTTCTCTTCTTCACCAACCACATTGCAAAGTGTGTCCCAAGAGTTCACATGTCTTCTTCACCAATGGCGCACGACTAGGCAGAAAACACTGTAAATTGCAGTTTTTGCAACATGTACGTAGTTCATGAACAACGCTGCTCGTATTCTGGTGAGGCCAATTGTGCTCGACACAACTGCTACCTCAAAACTTCCTCTCCCCTTAGCATACTTTCTTCTCTAGAGATAAAGCTTTACAGCAGCAATTGTTTAAATCAGTTTCCTGTGTTCTTGACGTTATTTGAAGAAAATACATACGTCCCGGTGATGTTCCAAATGTCGGTTTGCGGCCGACATTTCTAGCGCCGCCTGGGCTTATATCGCTTCTTCCAATATCAGGACTTTGTAGTCGAAAGCACTGCAAAAGACTGTACTTTTGAGCGTTTTCCAAAATAGAATTTTTACAGCGTTTTCCACTACAAAGACAAAGACCTGATATTTGAAGAAGCCGTGCGCACGTGCGTGCGTGCGGGCGGGCCGGGCACGCTCTCGTGTGCGTGCGTGTGCGCGAGTGAGTGTGCGCGAGTGCGTGTGTGGGTGCATGTGCGGGTGTGCATGTGCATACGTGTGTCTGAAGCTGAGGTTGCCTGCCTTTTCCATCAGACCCTGGTGCGCACACCTGTGTGGGAGTGTGTAGGCGTAAGCAGCTGCGCTAATCGTCGCATTTTGCTGTGCAAGGAGCCTCCAGATACGCGCAGTCCCCCCAAGGGCGTCGCCGGTTGGCGAAGCCTGTCAGTTATACATTCATCTGTCAGGCCGTCTTATGCCATATGTGCTCCCAAGATCCCAAGACCCTGATTCGCACGAGGGCCATTTCGGAAAGGAGCGAACAGCTTACCAAGCTTGTTTGCCAATTGTCAAACGCTCATCACAAAGTATCACGCATGGCTCACTGCTGGCTCTGGGTCTCCGCTCCAGCACCAGTGATGTGCACCAAGTACCTCCCAAAGTAGAACTTGCAATGGCAAGCTTCAGTCAACGGAACAACAATGAGATATCACACACACATGCACTTCTCCAAGATTCCTTCCAGTTTAAAGTTGCACAAGAAGGCGAAGGTGAATGTTTAGATGAAATCACAATCTCCACAGTCAGCCACGTTGGGGGGAACCCAAGCCCTGCAAGGCACTTTTAGGCGAGACAAATGCTGAGTAGCCTGCAGCAAAGCAGGCCTACCCAGTTCAGTTAAACTTAATTAAACCATGTTAAACCAACTTCTGGGGTGGTAAATGTAGAAGATCTTCACCGCTTTGTTTTGTGGCGCCAACCACTCACTCCCACTGGGGAGGGTGGGCGGGACATTGAACCAGGCCTCCTGACAACCAACTCCAAAGTGCATGTAAGATCCAAGCATCTGCCTGTTTTGGTGCGTGATTACTTTATGTACCTGCAGGTCCAACGCTCGCATAAAACTTGTCCCAACGAGCGGCTTTGGTCGACTGGCCCTTCTTTGCTTCATTCAGGCGGCCAAGAATGCGGGCTGTGTTCGGCAAAGCAACATCTCGACTGAAGGAGACGGCATGAGGCAGCTATGCAGCTTCTACTCTGGTCGCCGCATGATTGGGATTCATGCGGTTTCAGTACTGCCTCTATAGTGTTTGTTGTGTTTGTGTTTATCTTTTCACGCTGCTTTGCAAGCGTTCACATCAGGATCGGTGGGAGACCGTGTGCAACTTCAAAACAGCAAAACCGCGAGGCATCACCTGAAGAATGGAAGTGGAAGGGCGCTGCACTTGTACTATTAGGTGTGAGGCCATCGCTTCTAGGTTGGAGGCCACCGCTAGTAGGTTGGAGGCCATCGCTATTAGGTTGGAGGCCATCGCTCTTCAAGTGGTTCTGGGTTTGGACGACTTGGAATTCTTGCCCGGTCCATCGGCCTAGGACGTCCGGAAGCAACGCTCGCTTAGGGCATTTGGCGCCGCCAATGACCTCTACCGATCGAGGACGGGGATACCGCAAGCAGGCCTACACGTGCAGCCAAAGGGTTCCGAGGCGAAGCCAACCTCGTGTGTGGGTTCCCATTTGTGCCTTGGTTTGTGTCGTCGCGCAGGTGGCCTCCCCAAAGTGAACAACGTGGCGTTTCTGCAGACTTCAGAGGGGCAGGGGCATTTTAGGGGACGTGCATAATGCATAGACGTGGAACCATTTCTACGACGGACTTCCTCCGCTCCTGTCCTTAGGCGCCTACTTCATCAAGTAAGACTAGTAGCTTGAGTAAGCTGCTAGCTTCTGGACGCAGGATAGCTCACGCATTTGGGAACGAGCACCTTGTGGAACAACATGACTTAGACATTACATGACATTACACCCTCTCGTGCCATGTCAAGCTAGGGGGTTTGGCGACGCATCCAACGGGCACGTCTATCCTTGCAGTTCCGACGTAGAGAACGCAGTGTAGGAAGTATCACAGCTTTCTGCCACCGGACTGGGCCGGGCATTTCAATGCTCCAAACGCACAGATCACTAGGTTTGCCAAACATTTGGGGTGTGATTGCCTTAGTGCGCCTACTGGCGAAAGACCATGGACCACATCCAACACTGCTATATGACCACCTGCAAGCCAGAGGTTGCACCACTGAGATTGAACAAAAAGTATACCGCGAGGGCGCACTTCAGCGCCCGCAGGGCTTCCGGCAAAAGCGCACGATTGCCCCTGAAGTGCAAAAAGGCACCGACAAACTGAAGTGCATAACAGGTTGCCCCTGCGAATATTGGTGCCAACCCTCAAATTACATGAAGCTTTGAAAGCGCTATAAATAAAACCCCCCAAACCCACTGCCATTGTCAGAACCCTTGTTGGCAAAGTGGTTGGCAAAATGAGAACCAGAAACGGTGCAAAGCCAAAGCTTGGCTTCGAGCAGGTCAAGAGGTAAGGTGCCTCCATTCACTGTGATGGTAGGGATGCTCTCCAACCTTGATCTGGACATCTCTCCAACAGATAAATCTCTCCCGCTCTTGTTGGCTCAAGTTCCCGACTTTCGAAGAACACCATCTATGTCAAGAAAAATCACCAAGGACAAATCCTGCCGGCAGGCTGTTCGGCAATCCCTGCACACCCTAAACTCCAATCTTAAAATGTTGAAATGTACTCCTACCCAGAGCCATGTTCCGAATGGGTCTTTTCAATGAATCAAACCTTTTGTGAAGCCTTAACCTTGACCCAATAGTGAATAGACTTGACTAGACGACTTTTCAGAGGTTGCCTTTGACCCCCCTGAAGCACACATGTGCTTAAAAGGTGGACACCAATAGAGCAGTGAGTCCAAGAAATTCAGTATTCGCTTCTTGGAGAAGAAACTCCGCATGTCGCTATTGTCTTGAGGTCATCACGCCAACTGGACCATGGACTGCTTGAGCTTGAACGAATTCTCGGTACCCCTTGCTCAATCCAATAGAACGTGTAGGAATGTATGTATATGTATTCAAGACATAGTGCCGGTCTGACCAAGGACCTTCTTTGGATTGTACTTGCAAAACGCTGTGAGGAATGGGTTGCAACTGCCGGATTCTGCACAAGTCCTCTTTGGCTGGTGGATCAGCAAAGATGTCCTGTGTTGACAGCTATTCATAGTTGATGCCCTCAAACGGTTGTAGCAAACAATGAGAATCCGCAAAGCAGGAATGTCCTGTTGTCAATATACCCTATACATAGGATAGACTCGGATGACAATCCTTAATTAGCTGTTGTTTGGCGGCACCAGCTAGTGAGCAATTGGTTGATACCAATAGTATTTGTTGAAATGCTTTGGCGCCAGAAGTGAACAAAATATTGTTCATGTCATACAATGATCTAATCTAGCTAGACAAATAAAAGGCTTTTCATGTAATTACATCGTGTTAGAATTCAACGTTTGTTTCCTGACGACAGGCAATCAAACCACTCCCGTGTTTTACTCTGTTGAACACAACATGAGGGAGTGTTCCGAAGCGGCAGAGTGCAGAGTTGCAGCTATCGAATATGATTCTATGTTACTTTTTGCTAGACCGGCCAAGGAAAAGAGTTGACAACTAAAAATGTAAGTGTTCAGAAGAGAAACATTAACAATCAGGCTCGAAACTGATGTGTCATTGCTTGATACTGTCATTCTTTTCAGCCAAGAAAGAGCGGTTGTGAGTTCCAACACTTACTTGTAGAAGGATTTAGATTGTGCTTCAGTATCTACACTGTTACAACTTGGACTTGAACACATTGAATTATTGAATTGGCTCACGTCCTCCAAGCTTTGATCTGAACCCAGTCCTTTACAGTATTTGATTGCTTCTTTTGATTCACGACCACTCGTTCTGACTAAGAGAACATGGAATCTAGCTCACCTGTCTTCTTTCACACACACACACACGCACCCGTAACTGTTGGCCACTTGAACGCACAGTATCTCATATGCCCACTAATATTCAATATCGAAATAACGCACGGTCATGTGCACTTGTTACTAGAAGCGATGCACTTGTTACTAATAGCTTCTTGTTACTACTAGTAAGGCACTTGTTACTAGAAACAATGCGCTTGTTTCTATATAATAGCTTCTTGTTACACTTCAACCACCCCGGAACTTTTGTCCTAAAGCGTACTGCTAGACATTGTGTCTCACACATCTGAACTAAAAGGGCCAATGCGACTGCATCAAGGGCATGGAAAACATATGCTTGAATTCCTAGCTGTGCTTTTGAATTTTGAACATGTAGCCTTGCGAACCCACTTGCTAAACTTTGCTTGGCAGTATTCTTGCTAACTCTCTCACCTCGTGTGGCAGGTTGCAAATCCTTCTTTTGCTCGCATTGCGCGTTTTTTTCATAGACCAGTTTAAAACGGTGAGAAAGGGATGGTATACTGAGGGAGTGTATACCTTTTTTTAGCCCGCCCTTACTTGTATAACTAAATAGGCGCCTACTTGCAAGTAAGGGAGTAAGCTCCTAGCTACTTAAGCTAGTACATATGGATGCAGGATAGCCCGTGCACTAATGAATTATTTGGTTCCTAGGTCCTAGATTCTTAGGCAAACTTAACAACCATATGACACATCTCATCTTCCCCTGATTTGACAAACATATCCGCCGACCCCGCTGAGACAGCAGGGGAGCGCGTCAGAGAAGGTATATCCGAGTTCTGGCGACACCGCCTCCGTCAGGTCCGTGCTGGGCTGTCCAAGGCCGCTCTGGGAAGCTGTCTCCCAGTCCTTGCTTCTGGGTTTCGAAGATGACTTCAGGCACCCCGCGGTGCGGCCGCCGAGGCGTTTCCGTGACAGTATATAGGTGGCCTGGCGAAGGGTCCGTACTACACTGTCCGAGGCCGCTCGTTGGCTGGGCTTCGCACCTGGCAAGGGCCGTCTCTCAGTACTTTCTTATGGGTTGCGACGAGGCGTTTCGGTCACAGCAGTCCGGCCGCGCGGTTTCCGAGGCGTTTCCGTCACAGCAGGTGCTGGCGTTTGGGCCTGGCGACACCGCCTCCGTCGGGCCCGCTGCTGGTCTTCGGGTCTGGCGAGGCCAGTCTGGAGGGAGCGTGGCCACGTTGGGCGGGCTGTCTCCCAGTTAGGCAGTCCAGCCGCGAGGCTTCCGAGGCGTTTCCGTCACAGCAGGCGGCTGGAAGCGTGGCTGAAGGGTCGACAGCGGAAGAAAGGTCGCGCTCGACGCTGCTTCACAGAGTTGTTTTACGGCGGGTTGTCTTGATTGATAGTTTTTTATTGGTTCCGAAAGTGACGTTAGGACTGGCCGCACCCCAAACCCTGCGCCACCACCAAAACCCTGCGCCGTGTCAGGATAGCAACCAGAGCCCACGTCACGGCCAAGGTGCCACGTCCCAACCGCAAACCCTGTGCCTGTGCCAGGTCAGGATAGCAGCCAGAGCCCACGGGCTAGCAGCAGGAGCCATGTCAGGATAGCACCCCAGAGCTAGGGGCAGCACCCAATCGCTGGCAGCTGTTGTCTTGATTGATAGTTTTTTGGTGGTTCCGAAAGTGACGTTAGGACTGGCCGCACCCCAAACCCTGCGCCACCACCAAAACCCTGCGCCACGTCAGGATAGCAGCCAGAGCCCACGTCAGGGCCAAGGTGCCACGTCCCAACTCCTCGAACCCTGTGCCTGTGCCAGGTCAGGATAGCAGCCAGAGCCCACGGGCTAGCAGCAGGAGCCATTTCAGGATAGCACCCCAGAGCTAGGGGCAGCACCCAATCCCTGGCAGCTGCTGTCTTGATTGATAGTTTTTTCTTCGTTCCGAAAGTGACGTTAGGACTGGGCGCACCCAAACAGCAGGAGCCACTCAGAGCCCAGGTCAGGGCCAGGGGCCACGTCCGAAAGCAGCGAGTTAGGACTGGCCACGGGCTCGCCCCAAACCCGGCCCCACAGCAACCAGCGGAGGCCAAGGGCGCCGCACCCCAAACCCTGCGCCGCCACCAAAACCCTGCGCCACGTCAGGATAGCAGCCAGAGCCCACGTCACGGCCAAGGTGCCACGTCCCAACCTCAAACCCTGTGCCTGTGCCAAGTCAGGATAGCAGCCAGAGCCCACGGGCTAGAGCAGGCCATGTCAGGATAGCACCCCAGAGCAGCACCCAATCCCTGGCAGCTGCTGTCTTGATTGATAGTTTTTTATTGGTTCCGAAAGTGACGTTAGGACTGGGTGCACCCCAAACCCTGCGCCACCACCAAAACCCTCCGCCGCGTCAGGATAGCAGCCAGAGCCCACGTGCCCCAGGTCAGGATAGGAGCCAGAGAGCAGGAGCCCAGGATAGCACCCCACACCCCAAACCTAGGGGCAGCACCCAATCCCTGGCAGCTGTTGTCTTGATTGATAGTTTTTTATTGGAGAGTGACGTTAGGACTGGCCGCGCCCCAAACCCTGCGCCACCACCAAACCTGCGCCACGTCAGGATAGCAGCCAGAGCCCACGGGCTAGAGCAGGAGCCATGTCAGGATAGCACCCCAGAGCTAGGGGCAGCACCCAATCCCTGGCAGCTGTTGTCTTGATTGATAGTTTTTTATTGGTTCCGAAAGCGACGTTAGGACTGGCCGCGCCCCAAACCCTGCGCCACCACCAAAACCCTGCGCCACGTCAGGATAG